TTGAATTGGGGGCAAGATGAAGGAGGAGAGTAATAAATAAAGAGAAATCTTGATAGAGTGTGGTGAGCCACAGGAATATGAAATAGAAGTCCAGCTGTATGTCATAAGCTATACCTTGACAAGGCCAAGGGTCAGTCGAGTGGGAAGCCAATCAGCAAGGACTATTGGTGTTATGGAGCTTAATATTCAGTTATGCCTTGCTATGAATTCCTTGTGCTCATAATTCTCCTAAAATGTGTCTGTGTGTGAACCTCCTTTTCAAAACACCTGGATGGTCACTTAGAACCTTCTGCCGCTGAGCTCCAGGCCCCCTCTTTAGCATTTGTTTTGGGTTTCTGCCTCTTGCAAATACCCTCTTGAGCTACTTTCTAAGATAGAGTCAACCCCAAACTAAGTCTTAAGACAAGCAAGGAACAGACAGCTACCAGGCTATCTGTTAGAAGCCTGAAAAACCCCCCAACTTAGATAAAATCTGAGACTACGTGTCTCACAGGCCAAATGCCTACCAACTAGACAAACCAGCTTTGTTTCTTGTGCAAATCAAGGCCTCCTCTCTCTGTCTCTGTCTCCCCCCAACCCCAGAACCTCTTAGATGAAAGGGAGTTCCCCTCAGCAGGTGTTTCAAACTGTGATGCAGATTGACTAGTTATGAGTACTCTTCCCCCACCCGCCCTGTCAGGAAACTGGAGGCAGAGGGAAAAAGTGACAGTTTTAACTTTTAGTGACCTACAGACTTTCCCTACCCTCTCACCTGTAAGTCTATAGTTGATTGATTCGTAATGCCTTCACCTAACCACAATAAGGATATATTTCTAGCACACAAATTCCTTTTCTGATTTATTTCAGCTGCTAACTGACTCCACTCTTATCTCTCCCCTTTTGAGTTGCAAATAAAATTGCCAGGAAGCCTCTAGTGGGGGGACCCCTACAATCTTGTGCTGTATACAAAACATGAGGTGTTACTGTTTAGGATAGGATATAAACCACCACCACCCCTCCTCCCCCAACCCACCCCCTCCCTGGAGTAGGGGGTGAGAATTGAGGGAACTAAGAATTGAGGGAACTAGGAATGGAGGAAACTAAGGATTGAGGGAACTAAGAATTGAAGGGAATTAAGAGAATTGGAACTAGGGAAACCAAGAGAATTGGAACTAAGGGAATTTAGAGAAATCAGGAATTGGGGGAATTAAGAAATGAACAAATCTGAGAGAGCTGAACTAGTGATTGAATGATGGTGACTGACGAATAAACGAATTGAAGAAAGAGCTCTGAGCAACTGGATTCATTCCTGTGCTGATGGTAGCTAGCTTCTCTCCTGGGCCCTGAAATTGCATAAATTTAAGGCTGGATCCTTGAATATTATAGAAAAATAGGGGGGGCCGTTATGGGGTTAGGGAAAAAGCTAGTGCTAACAGAACCCCAAGGAAACAACAAGGATGATCCCAGCTAAGACTCCTAGCAATAGTTGAGAGGGTGGGTATCTGAACGGCCTTCCCCTGTAATCAGATTGGTGACTACCCTAACTGTCATCATAAAACCTTCATCCAGTACCGGATGGAAGCAGATGCAGTGATCTACAGCCAAGCACTGGGCCAAGCTCCAAGACTCCAGTTGAAGAGAGAGTGGAGGGATTATATGAGCAAGGGGCCATCAAGATCATGACAGGAAAACCCACAGAGACAGCTGACCTGAGCTTGTGGGAGCTCGTGCAGACTCTGGGTGGACAGCTAGGGAGCTGGCACAGGACCAACCTAGGCCCTCTGCATCTGGGTGACAGTTGCATAGCTTGGTCTTTGGTGGGGCCCCTAGCAGTGAGACCAGGACCTGTCTCTGATGCATGAGCTGGGTCTTAGGAACCTAGTCCTTACGGTGGGATGCCTTGTTCAGCCTTGTTGCAAGGGGAAGGATCTTGGTCCTTGGTATGCCATGCTCTGTGGATTCCCAAGGGAGACCTTACCTCATCTGAATGGAGAGGGAGAACGAGTGGATGAGGCAGTAGAAGGGAGGTTGGTGGGGGGGGGGGAGACGGGAGGAAAGGAGGGAGGGGAAACTGTGGTTTGGATGTAAAATAAAATAAAATAAAACAGCCGGGCGGTGGTGGCGCACGCCTTTAATCCCAGCACTCGGGAGGCAGAGCCAGGCGGATCTCTGTGAGTTCGAGGCCAGCCTGGGCTACCAAGTGAGTTCCAGGAAAGGCGCAAAGCTACACAGAGAAACCCTGTCTCGAAAAACCAAAAAAAAAAAATAATAATAATAAAATAAAATAAAACAATAAAAGTAGGGTGGAGGGGATACCTCAGTGGGTATGAATATGTGCTGGGCAAATATTAGGAACTCAATTCAGATGTCTAGCACCCATGTAAAAGTCTGGAAAGGCCAGTTCGCCTATAAGCCCAGAACTGTGAGGTAGTGACAGGTAGATCCCATAAATTTGCTGGCCACTTAATCTAGTGCATCAGTGAGCTCCAGGCCAGTGAGAGACCTTATCCAGGGGGAATAATGTGTATACTAACAATAGAACAACCAACATCCTCCTCTGGCCTCAGCACACACACATAGGGGTATGTATACACATACATACATCACATATGCATACTACACATACATGCATATATACTAACAACTGCTATGTACATGCCTCTAGTAACACACTACTTGTACATACATACATAATGAAAAAGCAAACAGATATCTATTTGAAAATCATAAGCCGAAAACGAGCTTAAAATTAAAAATTTAATTCATTGAATGTTAAAATAGAAAAACAAATTACAGAGAAGACAAATCACAAAACCAAAAAAAAAAAAACAAAAAACAAAAACCACTCATTTAAGAAAACACAAATTAAAAACAAAAATACTGCTTACTTATCAGAGATAATAGTATGCCATCCTGCGAGGAAAGTTCTCCCATCATCTTGTGAGCACAAAGAACTGGGATTAGGTGGATGGACCTCAGTGTATGGGAGAGTGAAGTGGGACATTTCATATTGTTCAGTATAGGGGGAAGAACTCAGGATCAGGATATATAATCCAACGTGCGTATCTGAATCTCACACAATCCTATGTTTCCTGTCCATCTGCCTCCCGTTCGCTTTCATGAGACCTTTGCACATGTTCTGTGATCTAGAAGGACACAGGCACCATGCACTCTTTCAATTGTTGATCTTAACCCTTGGGGATGCCACCCTGTAGCTTTCAGTCATTATCTCACAGTTATTCTGTGTCTTTACATTGTATAACTTTATTATTGTGAAGTTCTCAGCATGTGTGCTGGGACAGAGAGCAGAAAGTGTGTTCCTATCTTTTTTTTTTTTTAGAGGTAGCAGACTTCAGGATAATAAATCAGTAGGGACTGTGTTATTATAAATGACCAACCAAGTCACAGTTGATTGTAACTTTTAAACAGTGACCCAGACAGGATAAGAAACTGTCACTGATGATGTATGATTGCTTTAAATTCTCTTAGTATTAGGTCTGCTGACAGATGAGTATGTTTTTTCTGATATATGTATATTGACTTTCAAAAGTATTTAGTAAAGGCTCCTAAAAATGCTTCTTTCAGAAAAACTGATATTTAAAATATATCTCAGTAACACACACAAACTGTGTGTGGCCAATTTTTTTCTCTCTCTCTTTCTTTTTCTTTTTTTTTTTTTTTTTTTTTTTTTTTTGATGAGTTAATGTTATAAGGCAAGATCTACAATAATAGTAAGTATACAGTTGCCAAGCAGGGCTGTGGTTGTAGATCAAAGTATATTCTTAGCTTATATGAAGTCCTGGGTTAAAACTCAAATCCAAGAGAAATAAGTAAAACAGTTAACCAATGGGGGAAAACTGTAACACATGCAATTTTGTTATGTACACTGCCACCTACAACTCACTGAACTATAGCACCGCCTTCTCACCTAGGAGCAGTTTCACAAATGCACCTGAACATAAGAACACTCCAAAGAGACAGGGTGAACAGCAGTCATTTAAGACACCACCACAATAAGCAGATGTTAAATGGCAAATGTTTACCATTTCTTATCTAATTCGTGAGTATTGAACTAAAAACCTTTTAAGACTTATTACATTCTTTTTTGACATGTCAAATTTGTCTTTATATTTATGGATTCAATTTGAGAACAAAGATATAAATTAAAGTGTTCTCACAGTTAGCAATCTAAAAGTCAAACCATATCTTAAGCTCCTTAGCATTCCCTTATTTTGAGCATAAAATATTACATTTGGTTGACTATTTATAATAACACAGTATCTACTGACTTACCATCTTGAAGCCTGATACCTTTGAGAATGTTTGGAGTAATCTTGTTGTGCTCTTCCTCTGACACACACCCCAAGAACCCTGTGTTTATGGTCAGCTAAACTCAAACTACAAATTTTGAGAAAGAAGGAAGGGGATTTTTTTTTGTAGTAAAAAAGAATCCAATTTCTAATTTCAGTGTTCTCATATTAGCATAGCTTGATTCTGCCATACTATTAAAATAATTATGATATATTTCTGATTCCCAACATGTTTATGATAATGCTAATGATGATAAAGATTAATGAAGTTCCCTAAGTAATCAAGTTTTACGTTTTGGCTTAAACATTGTCTTTATCTATAGCACTTATGACATGAACGTAATCGTATGTGTCTTAATCATAGATAAACATATTTTTATCAAATAAAGAATAAGCAACAGATCCCCAGGAAAATTCAGTTCTTGAGATTTCCAGTCAACAGACAACTTGGCCAAAACCACTCAGACATATCCAAAACATCAACCTCTGTTTCCCAGAGCTTCTCTCCATGGAGGCTGAGACTCCACTTACTGTTAACATCAATTTAACTCTAGCCTTTCAGGGACCCCAGCACCCATGAACATATGTGCAAGGAACTGACACATAACAAAGTTGTTCAACAAAAAAGAAATGAAATTGTGTTGGAAAAAAAGTTTTAAAAAACTAACAGTTTCACCCCACTCTTCTGTATCGAGGTCTAAAGGGACCTACTTTCAAGGGAGACTTCCAAATTGTGAGACTTCAGTTCCCTTTTCCAAATTTCCTTCAGTCTCCAAGGTTAGCAGCATCAACTGAGAGGGGTGATCCAGACGTGATTTCAGGGACAGCACTACTCTTCATTCAGTATCTCTAATCAGAAATGCCCATCATTTTTGCTGTAAGGATTTCATGTATTTTTGTAGTTTTGGTTGGGTTTGGGTTGGTTTCTCTTCTTTTTTCCAGAGTAGCTGTGAAAGACACAAGGTTAAGCCTGGGTTTAAGAAACATGCCTGAGATTTTATAATGTTTAATACTATAAACATTTACCTGTTCCATAGTTATAAAGTTTAATTGGTGGTCAAACCTATCTGGAATTCATTTGTTCATATTCTACTAAATAAAACTTAAGTCATTCTTTCCATAATATTCTGAAGTTCTCTACTAAAATCAACAAACTTGGACAAGTGGGAATATCTGAATTTGTGTAATTTATTATGTTTTACAGATCCATTTATACTTTATGGTTAAAATGTAGCATAAATGAGGTTTTTCCCCCAAAAGCATTTTAATATATGTGTTTATTTTTCACCTAAACATTTGCATTATTCTTATTTCCCAGACTATCTGCCAATGAACTTTCAGTGTTACTTTTTTTTTCAGGGTTACTTTTTTTTTTTCAAAACAGGCTTTCTCTGTGTAGCTTTGCGCCTTTCCTGGAATTCACTTGGTAGCCCAGGCTGGCCTCGAACTCACAGAGATCCGCTGGCTCTGCCTCTCGAGTGCTGGGATTAAAGGCGTGCGCCACCATCGCCCGGCTCAGGATTACTTTTTATCTTGAGAGCATAAACAATCATAGTTTAACTATAGAGATAAGAATAGTCAAGCTTCATGTGAGAGAGATGTCTCAGTAGTTAAGAACCCTGGCTGCTCTTTCAGTTGACTTGGGTTCAATTCACAGCACCTACAAAGTGGCTCAGAATTGTCTGTAACCTTCCAGAGGAAACAACACCCTCATACAGACATTCATGCAGAGAAAACACCAATGCACATGAAATTAAAAACAAATCAACCTTCATAATATCTAAATGATCAACTATATTGCTCTGGTGGTCATAAAATATAGATGCTGTCAGTGTTCATCCATACCAATAGGACTATATTGTGTCCGTGTCCGTGTGTGCGTGCGTGCGTGTGCGTGCGTGCGTGCGTGCGTGCGTGTGTGTGTGTGTGTGTGTGTGTGTGTGTGTGTGTATGTGTGTGTGTGTGTGTGTGTGTGTGCGCGCGCGCACTCATGCCCTTTCAAACTGAAAATGTTTCCTTTCAGGAACATAAAGAATACGGAAGCTCAAAGGGAGCCTGTGCACTTCTGCACAATATTTGCAGTTCCAAACATTGCTTTGAGTAGACTACGCTAATTAAAGTTTCTTTTTACGCTAACCCAGCCCCATGTTTAAAATTTATGATACAATCATCTGTAACTCCAGTTTCAGGAGATCCAACACCCTCTTCTGGCCTCCATGGGCACTACATGCATGTAGTGACGAGACATACAATTAAAATAAACATTTTAACAAGACAGAGATGACTTGTTTTTTAACACACCTTTAAGCTGGGCTTTTTTTTTTTAAAAAAGCTTAGATGAGGTTTATTTGAAACTACTAACTTATGAAACCCCTTACCAAATATGCATTATTAGAAAAAGCACAGCTTGTAGAATTGATTATAATATCCAAAATTATCTTTTTTTTTTTTTTTTTTTTTTCGAGACAGGGTTTCTCTGTGTAGCTTTGCCTTTCCTGGAACTCACTTTGTAGACCAGGCTGGCCTCGAACTCACAGAGATCCACCTGGCTCTGCCTCCCGAGTGCTGGGATTAAAGGCGTGCACCACCACCGCCCGGCGCAAAATTATCTTTTAATATGAAGAATTGTAAGTGTTAAAAAGTTAAGTATCCAGTAATTCAGTAAATCTGTATCCAGGTGAATGCTACTTGGTGTCTGTAGTTATTAACAATTCTCTCTCTCTCTCTCTCTCTCTCTCTCTCTCTCTCTCTCTCTCTCTCTCTCACTCGCCTTCTTCCCCTCCCTCTCTTTTTCCCCCTCCCCCTTTGCCTCTCTCTCATACTGTCCAGTTTGGATGCTTCTCTGCATATTATGACAGAAAAGGGAAACAATGTATTTTTGGAAAATCAGCAATTGTCACTTTGCTACTAAATTAGCAACAGTAGCCAAACACCACAGATAAACCTAGGAACAGGAAGTAATCTCAGATTTTGTCAGAATCTTAAAATGGAATGTTAGCTTTTAATCCACAGTGCACCAAAAGCACTAATCAGTGTGTTCTGAACAAGAATCTTACCTATCACCCTTGACATTATATTTGGTCAGATGGGAGTTTGGTTTGGGGAAGGGATAAACCCAAAGAGGCCCATTTGAGAATGGCTGATATCATAGAGGTAAGGAACTGGGTCCAAAGTCAGGATATTGCCTCATGTGAAGCATTGTAGTGATCTCTCCGGAAAAGCTTGCTGCTATTTCTTCCTAGGGTGCAAGTGGCATCAACCTGATTCTGTTTATTTGTTTACACCGTTGCGTGTTTCTGCTTCCTTTAAAAACACAACAGATGCTCTTCTCAAGAAATACCTGGTTGATTTATTGTGTTCAATCTTTCTTTACATACAGTGTTGATAGTCATTAGTTTTTTTCTCATTATTAATATTTCCCAACTCTTTTACAAATACGTATAATTTATCACACTGATTGTGGAGTCTTTGAGACATATATTCATGACTAACACTAATTCTCATTCAGTACTAAGAATTTTCATAACATGAGCTTCAGTGCATATTTTGAGTCTTTTTTTCTCTGGTTGTATGGTGCAGTTAAATGGAATGCTAATATGTTCAGTAGCATCCAGAAAATGGTAAGGCAATGCCAAAAAAGAAAACCAAAGGCATCTGCATTTTGAAGAAGAGAAATAGGCTTCCTTTTGAACTTGGATTTTATCAGATTCTTTTTTTGACCAATTTGTTTTTAATTTTGACAGTTTTAAGTGCTGGTCAGCAAAGGTATTAGAAAAAAATAAATGAATATTAAACAACAGTTTAGTAGTGTAATACTAAAATATCAACAAATATGAGTAAAATAAAATATTTTAATTCAATAATTAACTGTCTCCCTTTCAAAACAAATATTTTAATGCATATTCTATCAGCTTCGTTTTCTAAATTTAAACTTAAGGAGAATTTTTATTTTTTCCAGAGGAAAGCAATATAAATATAAAACACGGCAATATGATGTTGGAAAAGGCTTCTAATTGATTTTCATGGTTTGAAGCTTATATTTAATTAGCATAGACTTCTTCATCTATTTGCATGCAGTTTTCAAAATCATATTATAATTTCCTGTGAAATGTGCACAATGTAAAACAGTTTTTGTGCCTTTTTAGTGAATAGTTTCTGTTAGAGAAATAAAACCTTGGAAAAATCAATGACAATTTTTCACAGTAAATATCAGTAAGTGGGCTACTCAATTGAAAACCTGTGTTGTTATGCACTAATAACATGTATTGGGTCTCTTCTGTGGGCCTTTATAAGTACTTTACATGAGTCATTTCAGATTAAACCTCACATCAAGGTTCATATAGCATCACATTCTCATAGGAATTTGGAAGGAAAGATATTTTGAAAGGACTTCAAAGGAGTTAAGTAGTTTGGTAAAATGCAAGCATTTGAAGAAGCAAGGGACTGTGCCTAACTTGTTTCAATTCCTGAGGCTCGGGTCTTTGTAATGTGGTGCCACATCATCTACTGCCACAGCTGAGAGATCGTTAGAACTGAGAAGATGCATTACTGAGTCAAGAACCCACGTTGTTTAAGGTCTGAATTACTGAATATAATTTTAAAGGAAACATGATACTTTATTCTTGTTAGTTCATACAAAGAAAATGACTAGAAATGCCACATACTATGACTGTATTGTCAAAACTGTCTTCCTTTGATTACTTTTTCCCCCAAATTTGAGATTGCTTCATTTTATTTTCCTGCATAAATTTTGAACTTTTCAAATAAACCCTTAACTTTCAAATTTTTCAGAATAAAAAATTTTCAAAGCACAATTGAGGAAATTACTGCAAAATAAATCATGAATGTTTCTTGACAAAATGCATTTTCATTTTTAAGTTAAAGACTAGCTCACAAATGTATACAAAATTAACAATAGTAATTTAAAGCTTGTGAATCTCTTGTTTCCTTTTTGTTTTAACCTTTGGTGAACTGAGAGAACAAAAAATGCTTCCAAGGTCATTGGTCAACCTGGTAATTTCTAATAACAGACGTGCCAGAAATGGCTTCCTTTTGAACATATTTGATTTATCAATTCCATGCTTCTTCATTAAAATCTATGATTTCCATGGCAGACATAACTCACAAGAAGAAGGTGACTGCTTATAATCCCTTTCTCTTTAAGAAAATATATTCAAGTTTGATTCAGTGATAAAATTTAAAAGAAAAGACAAAACAGAAAAAACTCCTTGAATTCCTCATGAGTAAATTCAGTGATGTACTAGCTGTTTTGACTTGAGTGGGATTAGAACTGACATCAGTTCAAGACATGAATGTTTGCATAACTAAATCTAATCACTTCTTTTTATTTTCTCCATTAAGTTTACCCACACAGATGGGCTTTGGAAATATCATGGCACTTGCCTTTGATCCCAGCACTCAGAAGGCAGAGACAGGACAAGTTTGAGTGTAGACTCCTCTACTTAATGAGTTCCAGGTCAGTCAAGGCAACAAAGTGAGACCATGCCTCAAATATCAATAAATTTCCAATATCATGTGATAGTAAAATGAGCCTGAACATGAATATTGGAAGACTTGGACTTGAATGGTAGTCTCATGAGTTGCTTAACATATGATCTATAGCCTTGTCTAAAAGATGAGGATGCATATAGCTCCAGAGTCTGGAGAGCAAATATCAAAACACAAAACTTTGCACTTGGTTTAAAACCATTAGTTATGCTCATCTAAATACATACAAAACTGCAGTGGAATAAAGCATTGAAGAATATACTACATTACTAACCCATTTAGAAAGGATGGCACAGAAAACAAGTCTCCTGGTATTATGAGTTTTACTAACAAGTCGGTGAAACAGAGTGATACTTTTTATTGAAGTATTCATTTTACTGTGTGCTGTAATTTATTGTTGTAATTATAATTATTAATACAATTCTGAAGCCACTTTGGATATTATTTCCATGGTGCCTGTCTCTAAGATTATTTTCAAGTGATTAAGAACAGAGTTGTATGACTTGTAACCTCAATCACAATTCCAGTCATCTCATTCTCTATTGATAAGACCAAGGGGCTTCCCCTAAGAAAACAATTTATACTTCCTTAGCAAAAGCTAGGACTCGGTCGGCTTTCTATCTGTGTCAAATAAGAAGTCATGCCACTAGGGAGGAGAGAGAGGGGGCCTCTTTCTGAATTTCTCTCTTGCTCATATAAACTTAATCAAGACTTGCAATTAATTTTTGAAATTGTTCTGTATCGACCCTAGTGTTTGAAGCTTCATTTTCTGCCTCTGGGTCCCATCAGTAAAATCCACACATCTCCCTGTTAGTGGAGCAGCTGGCTTTTAAAATCTGATGTCTTGTAGCTCTTATTTACAATCCTAATCACATCATTGATTTCAGTAATCTTTTAGTAAGAGTGGTTATTAATGTTGTCAAAGGCAGAAACTGGGATTCAGTGGGGATTTTTTTTTTTTAGTTTCTTTTTCTTTCTTCTTTTTTCTTCTTCTTCCTTCTTTAATGATACTAGATAATTAAGATGAAGCTTAGTAATGTGACTTTTGAGGCCTCGGGGTGATTAGCGGTTCCCTTTGGTTAAGTGTGCAACCCAGCAGAGGTTACCTCACTGACAATGGTATACACCACCAAGAAAGACCCACTCTAAAGTTCAAACAGTTAAATGAAAATGCTGCAAGTAATCCTCCTCACAACTGAGATGGAACTAAAGACTTTCATTTTTCAAGCTCAAAATACCAGTACCATATAAAAGTTTATCTGACTCCTAAGGTAATTTGAGGCAGCTCATGAAAAGTGTTTTGTTCACAAAGAGGCACACACACACACACACACACACACACACACACACACACACACAAAGCTGAATGACCATTTCATTAGCTCACATGAATATCAAAACACTAAATAAATTTCTTTTAGTATAAAAAAGATAGGATAAAAAGAATATGGAGAGGCCAAGAGACATTTAGAAATCAGACTTTTCAATATCCAGGACAATGAGAAAAGGGGGTGAGGTGAGGAAATAAATTCTGATTTTTCAGAAATGGGGTCATGCAGCAATGAAAAACTGCCATTCTAAGTCAGAGCTGTTGCTTTGCCTTTGGAAGATGGCAGGACGGCATAGATGTTCAAAAGGCTGCTCACCTCCTCTGAAAACAACGTGTAAGGACCTGCAAAATTATTGGTTTGATGTTCATTACTCTCCCATCCCGAAACCAAAAGAAATTATACACCTCTATGTATTTGGCATCACTATCAAAATCCATTGCCTAATTTAAAAATATCCCTGATCAATTTCTCTTATAGTAAAGAAGGTATAGTATCTGAACTGAAAAGGTATTATTAGAAAATGATATCTAGAGCATTAGGATGTATAATTCATGTTGCTTTCATTTGCTCAGACCATTGTAGAAATCCATAAATCATTTTCTTGCTCATGTATTGCTTAAGTGCAATTTGTCATTTTGCATTAGAGGCCTGCATCAGCCCATCCATTGCTTTTAATTCACTGTTTAGCGTTTAACAAAATACTGGCCCTGTTGGATGAATGGAAAGATGCTGTAATGTGAAACCACACCAGTGCTTACCAGGTTAAACAGATGTGCATTTGAGTATCAAGACAGTAGAACTTAGTGGAATATCTAGCATTCCCAGTCCCAAGAATACGGACCAACTGATTTGTTCTCTGTTGGGTTCAAAGCCTCATGGTTGCTAGTCACTCAAACACCTCTAGTAGCATACAATACCAATCATTTCCAAAACTCTAATCCACATCCACCCTTTACTACAAGTAAATGGAGCTGTCCTTTTGTCTGTGAGCTTAGCCCTGAAGACTTGCTTGCCTGCCCTTAAGTTGTGTAAAGCTAGTGAGTGCATAAGAACCTCTTAGTTTTCACTAAAATGTGCAGCTACACCAGATCCTCAGCATTTATATTGTGGATTGGACTTCTTAGGAGTGGCACATGCAAGGAACCATCCAGCTCCATCCTGGTGCTACCTAACATTTTAAAATCATCCTTATTGGTGCATTTAAAACTATTCCTTCCAATTCTTACCAAATGACAAAACCTCAGATTTTTCTCTCAAAGTTCTGAGCACAGTGCAATGAAAAGAGGATTTTAAAAACAGATTGCTTTGGAGTCATCTCAAATCACAGCAAACACTCACTTATCTAAAAGCTAGTTAACAAACCTGTCTCTTTTGCCCTCTCCAGCAAGAGGCAGTAGATGAGAAAGCAACCCTATTGTTTAGTTACTATGCTCTTCGAGATCCTTGGTGCCCTCTTACTACTGCCGTGTGTGTGTGTGTGTGTGTGTGTGTGTGTGTGTGTGTGTGTGTGTTACCACATTCACACATAAACTAGGATTTTCATGAAACATTATTTTTATAATCTATTTCCAAATGATTATTACCCCCCCTCCTTACATGCAGTTTTTTTTTTTTTTTTGTGTGGCACAGACAGCTGGCACGCCTTGAGTACAGAGGCCAGGGGAGGAAGATTGCAAGATTGCATGCACACGCTTGCTTCTCCCACAGCACATCAGTAAAGCAGAGTCCAGGGACAAAGTACACGCACTGCTGTGTACTCCAAAGAAGCCACCCCCTCCCCTAGACTGCTGTGTCGATAATTGCGCTTCACTAGATACTGGGACAAAGTAGGGGAGGGAGAAAATCCTGAAAGGTAGAAGGGGAAGGTATCTGCTTCGTTGGTACTAAGACAGAAACATACATGTTAGGCTCAAAAGGCACTTCTGAAAGGAAATTTTTAAGTACCATTTTCGAGTTCAGGATCGCAAGACTGGTTTCTTTCAAAGACCTTACTATAATGCCCACCTGCAAATTCTGGATGCGAACACACTGCTCTTGCAGTCTCCTTGGATGGAGTTTTCTCAGGGAAAGCAGAGACCCTGGATCGCTTTTATTTGGCCACGAAGACTCTATTGTCACCCCTATGGTGCAGAGGCTGGCTCCTCAGAGACTAAAAGTCAGCGAGGCCAGACCTGTGGAGGAGTCTGGTTTTGAGTTGCTGGCCAGGACTCCAGCCTCTGTGACCTGCAAAATCCAGCAGAGCCCCCAACAGGCAAGCCTTACCGAAGGCGAAGGCGGGCTCCAGGACAAAATGATCTCGCTTGCCTTATGCCACTTTCGCCGCTAGGAGACGCCTGTAACCCACGTTTCTGGAGAAGGTCCCCATTCAAACACAGCTGCCACCAAAAGGGGAAAAAAAAAAAAAAAAGCAGCTCAAGTGTTACAGTGGATGCACTGATTATTTACAGGGAAATCTGGCCATCTCTCCACGTTCTCATCTCCACCTCGGAAAGCTCGCTGGCTTTGTACAAACGCCCTAAGTCAGCTCAAACTTCAAGCTCCTTTCCCAGAGGCAAACCCGCTCCCCCAGCACCTTGCTTCTGCACCGTCATTCCGCGGCAGGTCTCTCACACGTAAACATGCACACACACACACAAGTGTTCCGTTAGTACAAATAAACACATTAAAACATTACCGTCGTGTTTTAATTTTTTTAAACAGGGCTCTAGGTTCCTGATGAGTCAGCTTGAGAGCTAGAAAAAAGAAATTCATTTTAAAGCTATAGGATCTGAAGGAAGGAGGAGGGGCGGGAAGCACAGATGGCCACAGTGTATTAATATTCGGATACACTACGAGCCCCTTTTCATTGATCCACAGGTCCTTTTTTCTGCTCTGCCGTTCCATTCTCCGCCGCAGACGTGACGCTAAAATCATTTTAAACTGCAGCGGTTTGAGCTTGGGTTTGGCGAATGGTCAATTCACTGCAGCTGCAAAAGGCTTAGCCATGTTTGCTGGCTCCTTTTCCAGCTACCCGCTTAAAGGTAGAACCCATCTCTCAGCAAGAGCCCCTAGGGCTAGGGGAACAGGCTGTTAGACACGGACTCTCCGGACTGCTCCGAGCATGCCTCCGTGTCAATCACGCGTGGCGACGCGCATTCCTATTTCCTTGCCCGAAGGCAATGTAACATACCTTAGGGGGTGGACAAGGAACCTTCCCTCAGGTTCCAGTGGCGTTACTCTTGGGTCATTCATTACCAGGAAACCTCTAGGGTTTCATTCTAATCTTTGACTTACAGGGCTGGACCGGAAAACAAACAACCTATTCCTTGTGACAGCACATTGATTAGTATAAAAACATATATTTCGATATTTATCCTTGGAGAATAGGCATTAAACGCACTCTCCAGCACCCGAGAGTTGGTTTGCGCCGCCTTGAAACTTCAGGAGACCTGGGTGAGTGGATGCACCTCGGGAGTGGGCACCCGCGGCTAGTCAAGCGCGTCGCTCAGAATCCTGGGGCTGCTCCCCAGGGACTCTCACCGAGCTGAGCGCCAGGCCAGCGAGAACCAGGGCCAGCACCAGGAATGTGCAAACGTGTCTGTGGATTCCCGCAGCGGTGCACACTCTATTCCTCTGTGCGTGTGCACCGCTGCACGGCTCACCGCCCCTCCCGCCCTCGCGGCCACCCCGCGGTCATTCTCCAGAGAGCTGCCCCCAGGCTGGGCATGGACCCTCCGCACCCTCCCTAGTATGGAGGCGGGGATGGATCGCCAATTGTAAAAGAAAAATTAAAAATTGAAATAGAAACCAGGCAAATAAAATAAAAGCCCGCGCTCCCCGCCGCTGCCTGGCGCGAGGCCAGGCAAGGCGCAGGGATATTGCAAGCGCCTCGCAGCAATGGGTGGTGCTGGCACCGGTGCCCTAGAGTAGGGTTTGACGATGGCGGGCTCCAATGCAAAAGCTACAAAGAAGCCCCCCAGTCCTCGACTAGGGTACTCATAGTTCGAAGCCATGTCCCCAAACGAGTTAATCTACTAGATAAGCATTTTGTGGGTAGACATTAGGTGGGTAGACGTTCAACCATCTGCCCGTCTATAGGAGCTGTCACCCCACGTCCCTCAGTCTGAATCCCTCCGCTTTACAGGGGGGAATTCACCTCCACACTTCCATTTCAGCCTCTTCTAGCCTCCCCACACATCCCCTACGGACCCTCCTGCTCTGATTGACACATGCCATTTTATGTCCGCATTTAAATTGTCCGCGCGTATCTCAGCCAGAGTCCCTTCATTAGGCAACCCCGGCTGACTACGGCCCCAGGGCAACTTTCCCCCGTTCTTGGTGATTTCTTTCCACGCTCAGCAGCAGGGAAAACACCTTAAAGGAAAAAGAATGTTAGCGTCACTGGAAACCCCGCTCCTTGGAGAGGCTACCGCAGCTGTTGCTATTATGTTTTCGTATTTGCTGATGCAAACAGGGGAACCTCTCTTATTCCCTGCCCATTACCTGCGGCTGGGGACTGGGAACTTTCCGCGGCAGAGTCCCCTTGCAAGCGCCTCGGGACCTGCGGGCTGTTCTCGCTCTCACACTCACACTCACTCAGGCAGCCAAGGCGAGAGTTCTGCCCCGCCCCTCCCGGCTGCCTCGTGACGTGAATACTTGACGGACACTTTCGCCAATGAGCGGTCGCTCGGTGGGTGGTGCTCCCCGGCGATTGGTTGGCAGAATGAGGGCGCTGCGCAAAAACAGAGAAGCCGAGCGCTCGGAGCTCAGAAACTGCCAGCCGAGATCACAGGCTCTGGGGCTGAAGCAGGAGGCAGGATGGACTGAAAGGAAAAGAGGCAGGTTAGAGGGGAGAGGCTTGGGAAGGAAACAGCAGAAAAGAAACCGCTCGCTGTGTTTACAGCAAAGCAAGGGACGGTCGGTCGGGTTGAGGACGCAGACAAGACTGTGAAAGCCAAGACATGCAAATAGAGCCAAAGAGGGGAGAAAATGTCAAGAGGAACGTCCACCCGGGGAAATGAAGAGAATGAAAGTTTTATGCTGCAGAACGGCCCCGTGTTTTTCCGGCACCAAATTCTCTCGCTGTCTCTGAGCCCGCTCGCGTTTGCAAGCCATTGACATCAAGAGGCATGTTCAGCGGTGCCGGCAGCATCTCTTCTTCCTTCTCTTCCTCTTCATCGTCCTCCTCCTCCTCTTCTTCTTCCTCCTCCACGTTCTCCTCCTATCAGGAAGAAGACAAACCTAGGACAGTCTTGAAATATCGAAATTTCCTCCTTGGGATTTGCCAGCGCCGCGTTGCGCCAAGACTGTCGGAATAAAGGAGGCTGACTATTGTATTATCGTTATTTTATTAATTGGTCAGTGGGAAGATTACATCTGAGCAGAGGGGACATCTGTCACCCTTTCTGCGTTAAGATTGAAAAATGAGGCTGGATTTGGGGAAGCTCTAAAATGAAGTAAAAGGAAAAAAATTTTAAGACAGCCACAGAAGCCCCCAACGTAGCACACTCTCTTATTTATATTTTTGAGATTATTATTTCTTTTGGTGGTGGGGGAGGTAATCGGGTGGCTAACTGGCTACGGGGGAGCGGCTTCCTTTCCTTTGGAGATGATTGTGCTGTTATTCTTTGCCTTGCTCTGGATGGTGGACGGAGTCTTTTCCCAGCTTCATTATACAGTGCAGGAGGAGCAGGAACATGGCACTTTCGTGGGGAATATCGCGGAAGATCTGGGCTTGGACATTACAAAACTTTCAGCTCGCAGGTTTCAGACTGTGGCCAACTCACGGACCCCTTACTTGGACCTCAATCTGGAGACCGGGGTTCTGTATGTAAACGAAAAGATCGACCGCGAGCAGATCTGCAAGCAGAGCCCCTCTTGTGTCCTGCACCTAGAGGTCTTCCTGGAGAATCCGCTGGAGCTGTTCCGAGTGGAGATCGAAGTGCTGGACATCAATGACAACCCTCCCTCCTTCCCGGAGCCGGACCTGACAGTAGAGATCTCAGAGAGCGCCACGCCAGGCACCCGCTTTCCCTTGGAGAGCGCCTTCGACCCAGACGTGGGGACTAACTCATTGCGAGACTATGAGATAACCCCGAATAGCTACTTCTCGCTAGACGTGCAGACCCAAGGAGATGGCAACCGATTCGCCGAGCTGGTGCTGGAGAAGCCACTGGACCGAGAACAGCAAGCGGTGCACCGCTACGTGCTGACCGCGGTGGACGGGGGAGGAGGGGGAGGAGGAGGGGAAGGAGGGGGAGGCGGTGGGGGAGCCGGCCTGCCCCCCCAGCAGCAGCGCACTGGCACGGCCTTGCTCACCATCCGAGTACTCGACTCCAACGACAATGTGCCGGCGTTCGACCAACCCGTCTACACTGTGTCCCTACCAGAGAATTCACCCCCTGGCACTCTAGTGATCCAGCTCAATGCCACCGACCCTGATGAAGGCCAGAACGGCGAGGTCGTGTACTCATTTAGCAGTCACATTTCGCCCAGGGCTCGAGAGCTCTTTGGACTGTCGCCTCGCACCGGCCGGCTGGAGGTGAGCGGCGAGCTGGACTATGAAGAGAGCCCAGTGTACCAGGTCTATGTCCAAGCCAAGGATTTGGGTCCCAATGCTGTGCCTGCACACTGCAAGGTGCTAGTGAGAGTCCTGGATGCCAACGACAACGCACCAGAGATCAGCTTCAGCACCGTGAAAGAGGCAGTGAGCGAGGGTGCGGCCCCTGGCACCGTGGTGGCTCTGTTCAGCGTGACCGATCGAGACTCAGAGGAGAATGGGCAGGTGCAGTGCGAGCTGCTGGGAGACGTGCCGTTCCGCCTCAAGTCTTCTTTCAAGAATTACTACACTATCGTGACCGAAGCCCCTTTGGACCGAGAGGCTGGTGACTCCTACACCCTGACAGTGGTGGCCCGCGACCGGGGCGAGCCTGCACTCTCCACCAGTAAGTCGATCCAGGTTCAAGTGTCAGATGTGAACGACAATGCGCCGCGCTTCAGCCAGCCAGTCTACGACGTGTATGTGACAGAAAACAACGTGCCGGGAGCCTACATTTACGCGGTGAGCGCCACGGACCGCGACGAAGGGGCCAATGCCAAATTAACCTACTCTATCCTCGAGTGCCAGATCCAGGGCATGAGCGTCTTCACCTACGTGTCCATCAACTCAGACAACGGCTACTTGTACGCCCTGAGATCCTTCGACTATGAGCAGATCAAGGACTTCAGCTTTCAGGTGGAAGCCCGGGACGCCGGCAGCCCCCAGGCGCTGGCAGGCAACGCCACGGTCAACATCCTGATTGTAGATCAGAATGACAACGCCCCCGCCATCGTGGCGCCCCTGCCGGGGCGCAACGGGACTCCAGCCCGCGAGGTGCTCCCGCGCTCTGCAGAGCCGGGCTACCTGCTCACTCGCGTGGCCGCAGTGGACGCGGACGACGGCGAGAACGCCAGGCTCACCTACAGCATCGTGCGGGGCAACGAAATGAACCTATTCCGCCTGGACTGGCGCACCGGAGAGCTCCGCACTGCGCGCCGGGTCCCAGCCAAGCGCGACCCCCAGCGGCCTTACGAGCTGGTGATCGAGGTGCGCGACCACGGGCAGCCACCCCTGTCCTCCACAGCCACCCTGGTTGTTCAGCTGGTGGATGGGGCCGTGGAGCCCCAGGGCGGGGGCGGGGGAGGAGGCGGAGGGCCAGGGGAGCACCAGCGCCCCAGCCGCTCCGGCAGCGGGGAAACTTCCCTGGACCTCACACTCATCCTCATCATCGCGCTGGGCTCGGTGTCCTTCATCTTTCTGCTGGCCATGATCGTGTTGGCCGTGCGCTGTCAAAAGGAGAAAAAACTCAACATCTATACTTGTCTAGCGAGCGATTGCTGCCTCTGCTGCTGCTGCTGTGGCAGCGGGGGCTCCACCTGCTGCGGCCGCCAAGCCCGGGCGCGCAAGAAGAAACTCAGCAAGTCAGATATCATGTTGGTGCAGAGCGCCAACGTCCCTAGCAACCCAGCCCAGGTGCCGGTGGAAGAGTCCGGGAGCTTTGGCTCCCATCATCACAACCAGAACTATTGCTATCAGGTTTGCCTCACTCCGGAGTCTGCCAAGACCGACCTGATGTTCCTGAAGCCCTGCAGCCCTTCCCGGAGTACAGACGCTGAGCACAATCCCTGCGGAGCCATCGTCACCGGGTACAGCGACCAGCAACCAGACATCATTTCCAACGGAAGCATTTTGTCCAACGAGGTAAGGCTGAAGCGAAAGAACCACCATCTCTCATCTCCTCCATCAGAAAGCCTCCTCTAGCCTGGCCCTGTATCTCTTTCCGTGTACTGTTTATTTTTAGGGTGTTAGCTGATTTGTATGGCTGTGAGAAGGCAAGGGTATGGGGTCACCTTTTCTCACCTCGTGAAGTGTAACCTAACTTCCGTGTTGTTCCTGACTGCGCTCCACCCCTTTGCTTTTATTTTCATTCCCTTCCGCGTTGCTTCATTGACACCTTGGAGCTTCCCCCCCCCCCCTTCCCATATTTAAAGTCCTGCCTTCTTTGCAACCTGGGGGCCAGAAGAGAAAAAGCTTGAAGAGAGAAGGAGGGGTGGGGGAGGGGCTTCCTATCACGGACAAGGGTCTTTTTCTCTTTGCATCTGTCCCAGGCTTTAATAAAGTGGTTCAATTTTGGTTTGTTTATCACTGCTTTCAGTCGCGTGTACAAGTGAGCTATAGATTGTTTAACACTATATGATTGCCTAAATTGGATTGCATGTTTTAGTGACCAGTTCCTTCTCTGAAAAAAAAAAAAAAAGTCTTCAATTCTGTTCTGGACAGCTTTACACAGCTCTTGAAGCCGAATGCCCACACAGTGTGAATTTGAATGAAGTCCCTTTGGCACCGAACCTTGTAAGAGAGTAAACCAACTGAAAGCTTGAACAAGTCTCTTAAATATATCGTTTCAGTACTATTTACCTTTTCTTGCCATTGGTCTTTTTTTTTTTTAAGGAATCGCCCACTGTTGGCTTTCTTCATCAAAGAATTTGGCTTGTCAATTTTAATTTCCTTTTAAAAGGCAGAGACATAGTGGAAAAGTTGGAGGGTGGGGACCGACCGGGGAGAACCATGTAAAACAAAGTTTGGACTGAAAGGTGTGGGCTGGGTGGAGCTTGCAGAGGGCTTCCTGAGGGGAAGGTGGGGGCAGGATTATGACAGTCTTTCTTGACATCTCCTTACTTTGAATCTCAGATATAACTCACTGACTTTCATGACTATTTGTACAGCTCATTTGTAACTTAAGTACCTTTTGAAAATAAACAACAAAATAATTGGAGAAAATATCCAAACTTTTGCTTATTGAGCGCGCTGTTTTTCTTGTGTCCATCAGTATGCACTTAAACACTCTGGAGGCTGTGGCAGGGCAAGACACAGAACTCAATCAGGGTAATTCTGTGGTAGACACAACAGTTTATTAAGCCTAGCTATAAGGTTGTTTGCATTCTCCCTTTGAAGTAAGACACATTTCCTGTGGGCCAGCAAGTTTTCTTTTCCCTGTTTAAGCCTTTACAGCTGAATTAAAGAAATCGAGATTCAAATGTCTCTACACGTTTCTCCTGCTCCTACCCAGCAGTCACCACTCTGTGGTCTTAGGAAAGCCTGAAAATTCATCAAAATGTCCACCAGTGCTTAAATCCAATGTAGTTCTTATTCTCAAAAGGAAAATGACCACTGTGCCCTCTGAATTTTGGTGCTCTTTATTTATTTATTTTTTTCCTAGAATAAACACCAGCGAGCAGAGCTCAGCTATCTAGTTGACAGACCTCGCCGAGTTAACAGGTATGAACTCTTTGCAATCCTCACCTTGGTGTGTAAACAGTTTCCTACCTAGTAAATGTAGGAAGTGGTGTGTTGTTTTGTTTTAAGAGACACAATGTATAAAGATTTTAAACTAGGGCAAGGCAGAAATCCTGTATATAATTTGTTTGTCTGTGTGCTGTTGGCTATACAATGTTTTATTTATATAAAATTATAAAATGTTTTTCCAGTTTCTGTGACTTTTCCATGTGTTCATATATATTGTATGAACATGTCATAGACATGTACTTAGCTCCAGTCATAGAATAATGTCCAAACTTCACATTTTTGATGATTCAATTGCCTGTGATGTCTCCCAGATTTAAGTGGAAAAAATGAGCTTCACGTGGAAATAGAGGTACATAAGAATTCCATGAGTCTGCAGCACACATCTGTGACCATGTGGTGGCAGAAGAATGTTTTCTGTGTTTCTTTACCTTTTTTTTCCCAGATCATTCTAACATTTTCCTTTTTGTGTTTCTAGTTCTGCGTTCCAGGAAGCTGACATAGTAAGCTCTAAGGACAGTGGTCATGGAGACAGTGAACAAGGAGACAGTGATCATGACGTCACCAATCGTGGCCAGTCAGCTGGTAAGTGGGATCAAACAGCAATCTAAATGCCCATTATATAGCTGTTTATTTAAATGCATCTACAAAAGATGATGGCTTAGGTAATGGTCTGTCTTCTATTGGTCACTGTATGCTCAAAAGAAAGATTGTGAAAAGTGTTACTTCCCTTTGGAGTGCTGAGTAGGAATCACTTGCAACTATGAAGAATTCCTTCCGTACGCAATGTTCTTTAATGGATTTAAGTCACATAGAGGTATCCACATATCTCTCATCTGGTCTGGTTCCCTGTCTTCAAACAGTTAGGGTATAATTAGGCTTATTTATGGAGGAGGTAACTGAGATAAATTAACTTATTGAGGGAAAGAGAAAAGAAATGCATGACTGGGCCCTAGAATCCAAACCTCTATACATTCTAGAGAAATGTATTTTACACACCAAATATAATAACCTGAGAAGAAGTAATGTTTAAGAGTCACAAATAGGTTGAAAGTCTAGTTTTCAATTCTGGGTCTCTGGGATTCAGAACATTAGTAATAGACATTTAGTAATTAGTATTTTCCAAGCATCTTTGATCTCCTTGTATTTTGACAAGTATTACATTTTGAACACAAGCATTTGTCTATGTGGGTTAACCTTTGGGTAGCTAATGGTCACAGGTGGCATTTTAATACAGTATAACTTTTAAATTGAATTTTACTTCAAATTTTTCTACATGAGTTTGACATATAATGATATGTAAGATGTTATAATACTAATTACTAATACTAAAAGAATTCATAAGAAATAAATTATATACCTTAAAAAATAACTTCATAAAATCGTTTGCTTTCCTCTACTTCCATTTGGATTTCACCCATGAAAGATATTTGCTGAATTCTCTTTCTTCCTAATTCTGTGTTTATTTGACATATGAAGAAATGAAAAGCCTGAGAAATTCCCAAAACATCTGAAAAAATGTCCATCACTGGGCTAGCACTGGGAGACGCTTAGCTCTCTAGATACTTGACCTGGATTTTATTCTATAAAGTGACAGAGTGCCTTATTTTCAAGGTAATATTAGTCCTAGAGAGTATTCATTCCTTAAAACACTTGGTAGCCCTGGGAATGGTGCTGAGGCACTGTGTCAAAGGGCAATGCACACCCAGTAGGACCTGGCAGCAGTGGTTGCTACAAGCCTCTCAGTTGGCTAATGTGGGCTCTGTCTGTGGCTGCTTAGTCTTGGGAAACCCGGGCAAGAGGAAAGGAAAAAAGGCTGCTCAAGGGTCTCTTTATATTGCTTCAAGTCATTAATATGCAGACCTAATGAGACTTGAGAACTGCCAAGAATCCCCGGAGGTCCCTGCCCCTTGCGGGCCTTCACGCTAAGTGAACAGAGCATCTATTTAGTGTCTGGGATCCTGACAACAAACCAGACCTTGCCAGCAGTTTATATGTGAGTACAAAGTCCCTTTCATTTTTGCCCTATATGTGGCATATGATTTATTGTTATCATTTAAAAACTGTATATTTAAAATTATTCATTTATATTTTCCCCAAGTTTCTAATTTAATCCCAGCCTTTTTTTTTCAACAAAAACGTTCAACACAAGAAAAACAAAGCCGCTACATGTTACTTTAAATGCATTTTATTTCTTTCCCACCCACTCCCTTTTGTGTTTTTCTTTCTTTTTCCTTAAGTAGCACCCCAGTCTCTGTGAGCATTTTAATCTAGTCACTTAGACGCACATAATGAGCCTAACAACCAATGCAAAGGGAGAGAAATGGAGAAACCTCAAGGAAGACTAAATTTATTAGATATTCCTGTTGCCATGTCTTCATGAGAGCTATTTTATTTCACACACTGTTGACATTTTGTTAAAGATTCTTTCAAAATATTTGGGATTTCAGGTCCTTTTAAGGACCATTAAAATGCAAAAAAAAGTGTTCTGCAATAGGTTTTAAATAGGCAAGGCAGTTTCTAGTTTTCATCATCAAAGGGCTGAACTATTTGCCCCCATATCTAAGTTGTTAAATGTGTAGCAGTGTTCTAGAATCACCACTCCATTTATGCAGTGCAGTGGTTACAGGGCAGACACAATAAACTGGGTGCAATAATTGCTGTTTTGCAGTTGGAAGAAAGCACTTACAGTGAGAAGTAATTGCACCTTCATTTTGAATTGATCAGTTGTCATATGCTTAATTTTATAGTAAAAAGTATTCTGAGTGTTTTAAATGTAAAAATCTGAATGCATAAAATTAAAATGCCTGTTACTAAGTGATGATTGTCAGCTCATACTACTGTTTTGTGTTATAAACCTCTCAGCAAGTAGCAGGAATATATCAGAAGTGAAGTTTGCTCCAAAAAATGTGATTTATTTCTTGGTAAAGGCAACGTATGTTGATCTTCCAAATTTGCAAAATTAGGTAATTAAGCAAAACTCACTAAGCATGTTGGGAGAAAATTTAAAATGATCAGAATAAAAGTTCAAAGATTAAAAATCCTGAATTCTCTCTTTTAGCTTGTGTCTCTTGCCAACGCACAATGTAGCTTACTGTTTTACCTGTTCAAATTGCCTAACTTTTGCTTTACCTCTTCATTTTTCTGTTAACCTTACTTTATACTTATTTTCCCATGACTTCTATCTATTGTTCCCTGTTTTGTTCTTTATTTTTCTCCTTCCTGCTCTTCTGCTATCTAAGCCTTCAGCAGCCTCAAGCCTTCTTCACAGAAAGGCTGCCGACATGAAGGCAGCTGCAGAGTCACATGAGCTTTCTCAGTTGGCCACTGCACCTGGCTCCATGCACAATATTCCTGGGCTTGACCACTGCCCTGTAGCACAAGCTTTCTATAGCCTTGTCAAGGTGCTTTCCGTTTTTTTCAGTGCACTATTGATGTATCAGTTAGATATGGCAAAGTTCCAGGCAGATGTGGTGAAGGCTTGCATAAGCTATCACAAGAGGGAAAACTGATTAACTACAGCCAAAGGGCTAAAAACTAGATTTAATAAAGCAAGTCAGTATGCTAAAAGATTTATTGTTCTATCTTAGAATAAGGATATAGCATCTAGGTTACCTGATTTCAAACATTATTAACATTATTGAAGTATATTTAAACAAATCTATTTAGTTGTAAGAAATAAGTCTTTATTAAATGCCTATGCTATGAAAATGCTACCACAAGTTGTGAATTTATTTTAATGCCTTTCTCTTTCAAAAGATATATTGAAAGGGAGAATTTTAGATGATTTAGTCACTTATAACAACTAAAAATTGCCAGCTTTGTCTTACAATATTTTGTTAAAAGAATTTAACATATTTATTCATCATATCTGGTAACTATTAGAAATAAATTTAAAAATAACTAGAACTATCAATTTTTTAAAGATAATGAGTAAAATATATTATGTACTACATGGATCCATTGGACAGCTACAACCACTGCCAAAGAATTCTTAGTTTTCATGAACTATAAATATATTTTTCTTAATTTCAGATGTTGACTTATAAATACAGGGAATTCACTCTGGTGGTTTACAAAAACTTGTTTGGGTTTCTGGGGAACCTATGAGATACAGTCTGATGTGAGGATGCTAATAACTGGGAAAATAGGGAGGAGAAAATATTGAGAGAAAATTATAAACAGTTTGAAAGGTTATAGGAAGGGATAGAATTTTGATGTGTATTTTCATATGTTAATGAGTAATGAGACATATCTGACCCTGGCATAGACTTAAAAAATTATACTTGCCTTATAACTGTAGTTAATGTCTATGAAGTACTTTTGGATATTTGAAGGATGGCTGGAAATTTTCTCAAAAATGAAGTTTGTTTTCTTTAAATTTGTTTTATCATACTTACTGAAGTTTTGATTAGAAAAAAGTATTATCTATTATCAGAAACAAACATAAACTGGATACACTTCTTTCTTAATCATAACATTTCTCAGAGAACAACCTACGGCTATTGTCTGAAACATACATACATGTATTTTAAAGTTTATCTGAGTCTGTCTTTGTAAAACAATCAGTCTCTCATTACAGCTGTAATAATTGCAGAATAACTTACTCCTGGGGATCGGAAAGAAATGACTGGAAATAATGATTGCAAGTAAAATTACGTATCTTAAGACATTTCTTAGATGTATCAAAACTTCAAAAATTTGTCTCTACACATGACATATGTTTAATCATGAATGCATTTGAAAGAGAAAATAAGTTAAACCTATTAAAACTTGAGCCTTCAATTTGAGCCATAGGAACTTGTCCGAACAAAGTGGATGTTCTGAATTGCATCACAGGGAATGGAATTGGCATCCCTGTCACTGATGTGTCCACGTTTCCACAAAAAAGTGAAAGGCTTTCCTATGTATTTGGTAATTAAAAGTTACACAGTCAATGTGACTAATGACGAATGATAAAAGAACATTGTTAGTCATCTCACAACTCCCCTGCGTGAGGACCCGTAATGGGATACATTTATTTCATTCTCCAACTATTTATCTAAACGACAAATAGAAAAAAAATTCTATTTTCTATTAATTTCTCTGTTCCTTATTTGAAGTTTATTGATTATGCTGTGGTTTTCATTTTCATTTCTATAACTGATTTTTCCTCATGAGAAATATATCCCCTCGTTTTATTGACAAAACTGGTGAAATGCTCAGGCCCTATTTGAGAGACCTCTCCTTCCACTCCAGTTATATACAATGATATATAACATTGCCAAGAAAGTTCCACTCCATAGGTTCATAAATTTGTTTAAAACCTTGCTTACCAATTTTCTCTTTTGTCAAATGACACTGTAATAAGCTTTCAGTGTTCCTTAATTTTTGTTAATAGCATTCTTTGATGCTTTTTATCCTTTCTCAATCAATACAGCTTTTTTGCATAGTGTAAGGAAATTTTAACCAATCTTATGAGATATAGAAAAATTAATTGGGAGATATAGAAAAAATTGTCAAGTTTGCAAGATAAAAAACCTGTACAATTAAATATGTAATTAAATATATAGTTAAATATAAACTAATTTCTACCAAATATCGTCTGGTAACATCAAGAACTATCTTAACACTGGCACATTGGTTTACTAACAAGATGATGGTAATCTGAATTGCAATGAATACTTGTACATGAACACATAAAAACTTATGAATGGCTGGACTTCCATATGTTTGGCCGAATTTGCCTTTCAATGATATGCATCAATCATATGAAGAAAAATATTATTAACTGGAAAATCTGTCATTAGTATTTATCTTTCCATGATCGAATATGACAATTCTACATTAATATTTTTATCTTAAAGTTCCAGAATTCTTGAAAATTGTTATCATTTTTTTAAAAATAATTACATATTATCCTTTTTTCTTAAATTTGACTTATGTGATACACAAGAGCTGTGGTGATATTGTGTAAGAGCCTTCTTCCTCCCATCACTAAGTGAAATAGGAAAAATTAAACTACCAGTGGATCCAGATAGAAGTCTTGTGCCTGGGTTGCTGCCTATGCACCATATGAACGAGTATCAGGGATGTTCTCTTTCTCTTTTAGCGTGTATAACTTAATGCAGAAATAGGGTTTGTCTAGAGTGTAGTAAAACATCTCAAGGATTTCTATTCTGTTCCAAGTCAGATTCTGTAATTCCAGCTTCAGTATTTAAACTCCTCAGGAGATTACCCAATAGTAATTCACTTTCAGGCTTATGCATGAAAATTATCAGGTGGATATTATAATCAAAGATGGACTTATTTGTTTGTACATAGATTTGTTTCAGATGAAAAGCCATCATTTAGTGGGATTAACACATGGTAATTAACCTGGTGTTGTTTCCTCAAAAAGTATTTTTTTTTTAGTTAATGACCTTTAATTCTAAAAGAAAATGTAGAAATTCTATAAGTTTCATTATTTTGAAATATGTATTGTCTTTTACAAATATTTTCAAGTACACTATCATTTAAATCAGTGTGCAGCACAGAACATCTGTTGAAACATTAAAACTTCCTTTGAGAGCTTGAGATTTCTAGATATTTGTGCAATTAAGAGTCAAGTATACTCATTAAATATTCTATGTTAATTTAAAAGTCCCAGCTTTTCATACATTTGAAAGACCTTATGATATAAATTAATCATGCTTTAGTTATTTGAAATGAATCAAAATTGTACTTACCAGATGGCTCCGTGGGGAAAGGTCCTTGCAACTCATCCCGATGAACTGAGTTTCATCCCTAGTAACCACATAGTGGAAGGAGAGAAATCACCCATGCAAGTTGTGACCTGACCACACATGTGTCATAGTATGTATACACACAGACCCACACAAATAAGGAAATGGATATAATTTTTAAACACTAGAAAAGTTTACCAATATTTAAAACATTCAGTAAAATATACTAGCATGTTTTAAAAAGCACTGGAATGATATTTTTGTTTATATTCTTTTCTGTGTTGTGCTCTACCCCAAGTGAGTATCAGGTTGGGCATGGTGACAGTTGACTGTATTTGGGTGTCTAAGGCAGGACAATTAAGAGTTTCAAGCTAACCTAGCTGTTTAGAGATGTCTAGGTCAGCTTGGGCTGTATAGCAAATCCCTGTCTCAAAAATCAGAAGAAAGGAAACAAAAATATTAGTGCCGGGTGGTGGTGGTGCACACCTTTAATCCCAGCACTCGGGAGGCAGAGCCAGGCAGATCTCTGTGAGTTTGAGGCCAGCCTGCTACAGAGAGAGATCCAGGACAGGCACCAAAACTACACAGAGAAACCCTGTCTCAAAAAAACAAAAACAAAACCAAAACCAAAAAAAAAATATTATTCCACAGCTCTAAAATATTCTTGAACTAGTGAGATAACTGAGTCAATCAAGTGCTTGCCTTTGAAGCCTAAGAATTAGAGTTCAAAGACCCAAGTACCAAGAGCTGGGTTGGGTGTGGTGGCATGCACAGTGTTGGGAAGGGGAGACAGGCAGAATCTTAGCGCTCACTGGCCAGACAGCACAGTTTACTTAGCAAAGTCTAGGTCAGGGACAGGGACTCTATCTCAAAACAAAACAAAAAAAGTGGGTGGCATCTGAGGAATGACCTCCCTTATTTGTACATGCACACACAAATAGTTACATGTACATCTGCACACATGAACACAGATACACACACACATATATAATATATAATATACATATATACATATTACACACAAATTCTTGTACGTGATTCAAGAACAGATAGACTTTCTTGGTCACAATCAGGTAACATTTAACAGCCTTGTCACTCTAATGACTGTGATAAAATTTGTAGTGTCATTTTCAATCTTGGTACATATAAGTTTGTGTTGACTAGGACAAGCATCTACAGTACAAATGAGCACTAAGGAATATGTCAATATTATCTGTAGTCGATTCCCACTGCATTTGGTTACCTCGGCTACACTAATTATAGTCATTTGTTTTTGGTTTGTGCAAGGTGGTAAATAATAAGTAATTTATAGGCATATGGACTGCCCGAGTTCCAGTGACAGATACCTTTAGGAACTAATTTCCCAGGAAACTAAGAACCACACTATTTTCCTGTGTACAAAATAAACAGAATTTTTGTCATTTGCCATTTGTCAAATTTGGGCTGAATTTCTGTTGAATTTCACCTTCTATTTGAAATCTAAGGTCGGTGGTCTAATTGTTATCTGACCTTAGCATACCCTTTCTGTGTTTGTAGGAACATCCGCTGATACATTGTTAGAGGATACCGATTAAAAAGCCTATAGCTGCGATTTCCCTATGTTATTAACCCACGAGAGAGTTTTAAAATATTCTTTTTCCATTCACTACTTCCTCAACTTTTAAGAAGTCAGCATTGTTTTTCCACCAATATTCTGAGTTTAGAAACTGTCTCTGTGACGTCTTTGCCACAGTCTTACTTTTTATGATTGTAGATCATTTATCCTGCTTTAAATGATAGGGGAAATGATATTAAGAATTTTTTTGTCTCCATCAGATTAAGAGAAAACTTACTTAGTGAAATGTTTTCACCCATCACTACCTTACCTGTAGACTTTTCCCGACTGTACAGCTGCCTGTGTTGACTACATTTGGAGTTTCTTGTCTCTTCCCTCTTCCTCTCTACCGTTTTCTCTTCTTCCAGGTATGGATCTCTTCTCCAACTGCACCGAGGAGTGTAAAGCGCTAGGCCACTCCGACCGATGCTGGATGCCTTCATTTGTCCCTTCGGATGGACGCCAGGCTGCAGATTACCGCAGCAACCTGCATGTCCCCGGCATGGACTCAGTTCCAGACACCGAGGTCTTTGAACCTCCCGAAGCCCAGCCTGGAGCAGAGCGGTCCTTCTCGACCTTCGGCAAGGAGAAGGCCCTGCATGGCACCCTGGAGAGGAAGGAGCTGGACGGATTGCTGTCCAATACACGAGCGCCTTACAAACCACCATATTTGAGTAAGTATCACAAAAGCTTACAACAAGGTAGTTCCTCTTAAGAACTAAAGGTCCATATTCTTATTGCTGAAAACAGTTTGAGTTCTTAGAAATGTTGATGAAAATCGTCTTTAGGTTTAGGCAGTACTCCAAGGTGGAAAACTGATAGCAGGAAAGTGGCCTCTGGTGTTGGGGTTGTATTTACAGCAAAACACAGCCTTGGCTTTTACAAAAAATATTTTCAGATGTTCTTTACTTTCCTAGAGTGTGGAACCCTGGCTTACTTGATTTCAGTGTAATTTGAAGGGCTAGTCAAAGTCGGAGTCCTTTCGGGGAATGTAAGCGTTTCTGGGTATTGAACTGAGGGACTTGGGCATACCAGTCAAGCACTGTACCCCTGAGCTACGCCCCCTGGCCTAGCCTCATGTTTCTTAATGATATTGGCTGATATCATCAGCTAATTGTGGTTTTATCATAATGAAGTTAAGCACATTAGACCAAATTTAGAAAGTAGTATAGACATGTAGACCTCATGTTGAGCTTTTACTAGAGATTAGGAGGTTTGCTGGTAAGGACTCAAGTCCATAATCAGAGTCAGAGGTACTGTGTGATAGAGGGACCAATGGTCTTGTAGCACTGAGACTACAGACAATATGGCCCCTAGTTCAATATAGAAACTGTATTCTCTAAATGGATTATCTTATACAACCATCTGACCAACAAAAATGCTTAGGGTTTCTATGATAGATTTCCTTTGAGGATCTCAGTAATGAAATTTTCCTGTTTAATATCTGCTCCATGACATCATCTCTTTTTAGTTAATGGATGAATACTATGTATAATTCAATTCTGATTAAGCCACATAAATAATACTTGATATAAAAAGTAATGCTTGATAGAGGTAAAACCTACGGCAACTCAATCAAAAATCGAAATCTACCTGATATATAAATTCTGTTGCATTTGATATTTTCTTTCATCTTGTAGTATCAAGAAAATATTTGTTGGATCATAAACCAGAAACAAAGTTTGAGAGACATTGGAGATGTATCATTTCTATTTGAGCTGATAAAATAGGAAAGATTAAAAAAAAACTTGAAGAAAACAAACTGAATATGTATACATACATAACATATGTACATATTAAGACTATGTAACACAAAAATCACATAGTAAATCCATTGAGGTCATGGCTTCTAATGTTGAACAATGAGAATAGTCAAGTGTTCCACTGAGGCCCTCATCAGATTCATAAACAGTGATGACAATAGTGACCAAGGTATATTTCATGAAAGATTGTGTTCAGACTCTCAAATTACATAAGAGCACCACTGACTCCACGGGATACACTACTTTAGTATTACAGAGTCTGTTAATAATGCCTTTTATGAATCACTGATATTTGATTAGCCATCATTTTATTTATACTATATAAAGAGCATAAGTACATAAATATTGAGAGTCTAAGATCCAAAATTAGACATAGCCACACATTCTAGTTTACTTAAAGAGAGCAAAAATCAAGTTTTATAAAGGAGGACCATGATGAGATCTTCTCAAATTGAATTATAGATTTGAAATTGTTCTAAAAATGAAATGTTTCCAAAATAATATGAATAATCCTACCTTGTTTTATGTAACTTTAAGAAATATGTTTTATAGAAAACTATCATTGACAATTTCAAGAAGAAAAACTAAAGGATATATGATTTTAAGGACTCAAGGCACATACCTTTAAATGAATACTAATATTTCTTTTATGAGCATATTGTCAGGTAAATACACTTCACAGATAATGGAAAAGCAACTTCCATTTTATAATATCAACAAGCACAATACTTGGCAAATTACTCTTCTATGTAAATCTTGAATTTGTTACAACTAAGAAAGTATTTTCTTAACTGACTAGTTTTTTATTTTAATAATGATCATAGTAATCATACTTTTTAATAAATAACAACACTGTCCTTAATTTAGTGCAAAATTTTCTATTTTGTAAGAATCTATTATTCTCATTTAGAAGCCTGAATTCAGGGACCATTGATTTCATAAGTATGTGTGTTAACATAATCAAATAAAAAATCTATTATTGTACCTTGTAAATTTAGATTTGGTTACATATTGATTGAACATGTCTGTTGAATCAAATTAGTCTCTAATTATGGTCTATATTTTTCACTATCGATTTTAGCCCACTAATACTGTTCTAAATCCTCAGTGTTTGGATTGAAGTCAGACCCAAGTAGAGAATAAACAGAAAAAAAAGCCATTTGTATTTATAGTGTACTTAATTCACCCTGAACTTTAAGCATGTATGAATTTCTCCTTTTTAAAAAATAATAATATTTTAGTGATTTATGTCATACCGGACTCAGACAATCACCTTTAAAGTTAATATCTTCACACAGGGTCAATAGACACAGTCAATTTTATTGTTAGTATAATAGTACATACATACTATACTCTCAAGCTGTTTCTGGCCACCCCCCATTATATGGTGAGAGGGCTTAATTTTGTGTCATTTATCATCAGGAATGGAAATATTCTCATCTTCTAAATTAAAAACTACATCCATCGTGTGATTAAAAAAGCTAAAAATTGACACTAATTACTTGCTTTTAATCAGAATGTTTAGATAATTATTGAGGCTGCTGTTTTACTTTTGTTAACTATGCATTTAGTTTTATAATGAGTGTAATATACATTTGATGCTTAGGAAGGTAGCTATATATTTAATAATCTTTAAAGTTTCCAAAAATGTCTAGTGAGGTAACCACTGTAATTTATATAATAATGATGAGAAAAGGGAAACACGGATAAAAATACAAATTAGATCATTGTCTATGCTGGTAACTTCTGAGTACTATGCCTCTGATACATATATATATTTTAAGCTATACTAACTTTTGAAGAAAAAGAAAAGATACCAGGTGCTTGCATACAATGAAAATAGAGTTCACTTTGAAGTGGCAATCTAAACCAGTCACACATTCTTTTTTAACGCATAGAAAAACATCCACAAAGTTCCACCTGATCTGTTTACTCAAATGGAAATTAAAATAACTGGTATCAAGTTGATCACCTCTATCAATACTTCCTTAGTCACAAACGTTGCCTACCCTGTGTTTTCCTACTCATATTAGAGAAATATGTATTTCATACTTGTGGCAAAACTGTTTATTTTGGAAACAGATATCTTACCTAGATTTACCTGAACCTTAGCCTCACCTAGCATTTTATTAAAGTACTAAAAATCCTAAGACACAAATTTAACTTTTAACTAGAATTAATAATTGCTTTTGCCAATTTAAAAACCAATTTAAAATGGGAAAAAAGCATTCTCTGGAGATTGGAAATGACCTTGCACTTCTGTCATAAGGATTCCTAGGATATGTTTTTAATTATAGACATTTTATTTAAAGCAATTTCATTCTTCAAATGACACAATGTATTACATGATACAATCTGGCTAGTCTCAGAAGATGAGAAGCAGAAATAATTTAACCACAGAGATGAGAAGATGGATCAGTGGGTCAAGTGCTCACCTTGCAAGCAAGGCAGCCCGAGGACAGGTTCTCAGAACCAAATAAAATGTAGGCACAGAAGTTACCTTGGCAGTTTTGAAGCTGAGACAACTATGACCCTGTGTGGCCAGCTAATCTAGGTGAATCTGGTGAGTTTCAGGTTCAGTGAGAGACACTGTCTCATAAAATAAGGTAGAGAAGTGATTGGGGAAGACACAATGTCAACCTGCACTGGCCTGCACATGCATCAACACAAGCACCGCACAAATACATATCTATTCACGATTTTCTATGCACACACATACCCATACCTACAACACACACACACACACACACACACACACACACACACACACACACACACACACACACTTTAAAAAACAGCTTGGGGAATGCAGTTGATAAAAAAATGATGTTACTTATGTAATTGACAAAAACCTGAATAGTTAAAACAATGCTAAGATATTTGGAATCACTGTTGAGTATATTTTAATGTAATGTTAAAATTTCTTTTAAGACTTTTGTCAATGAATCAATGTGGTCCAAATTAGACAGCAGAAGCAATGCAGTAATAAATGTATAGGATACATCAGGAAAATTTTCTGATGATTTTTATTCTTTTCTTTAAGATATGTTCATTTATGTCATCTTTCCCTTCAATTTGTAATACTCATTTATCATGTATTTGTGATAGGGATTTTTTTTACTTGTTCAACATATTGAATGAAGTAATAAGACTTGACTGATGTAATGTTCTTGAAAACTTCTTAAACCTATGGGGTTTTCTAGACTCATCAGTTTACAGGGAAACCACTTAGTGAGACATACCATAGTCCATCGGGCCTTCATATTAGAAGCATCTAGATTAATGTTTGTATAGCAAAAGTTCACTTGTCCCTCTCTGTTTTTATCAGCTTTGCATTCTTTTAAAATTTTGCAGCTCACCCAGACCACATAAAAAGATCAAAAATTTAAAACATTGCACCTAAATTATTGCTGCCAATTTACCTAGATCTCTTCTTAGTAAATGCAATTTTGGTAAAAAGATCTTTTTGGTATCTGCTTCTGAGCACTTCCAGCCTCGAGCTGATGGGAAGTGAGGAACATGCTTTGTTTAGTAACATCTCTCCCAATGTCTTCATTATCTCAGTGTGCCTTCTGTGAGTTTTCATAATTTGCTGAACTCAATAGTGTGTTGAGAGCATATACAGAATTCAAAATAAAATGACTTTTCTTACTGATACTCATTACTAGCATATTTATATCACCCTGTGTGGTGGTATCTTTGGCATATATCTATTCCTCTAATGCCCTAAGTATAGCAGTACATCTGATGTTAAATCTACAAAGTAAGTGTTTTTTATTAAAGTATTTAAAAAGCCATTTCTGTCATGTAGTTATAGCCATCAGTAAATGAAGGAAAGCCTTTTATGATTTTCCTTTTCTGTAAATAGATTTTTTTGAATGTTCACTTCTCCTCCGAGCTCTGTTACTTAT